GTTTCCTGTGTCTGGCCTCCTGTTTCCACCGCCTAGTTTCATTACCTTGCATTTACTCGGGTTGAACTTTAGTAGCCATTTGTTGGATCATTCATTCAGTCTGCTAAGGTCATCTTGTAACCTCCTATTATCTTCCTCTGTCTTAATCCTCCTCATATTTTTTGTTTCATTAGCAAACAATGAGAGGAGCGATTCTATACCCTCTGGGAGATCATTTACATATATCAGAAACAGTATAGGTCCATGGACTGACCCCTGCGGGACTCCACTCGTAACGTCTCGACAATCCGAGACCTCACCCCTCACACTGACTCGGTGTCTCCTGTTGCTTAGGTACTCCCTTATCCAATGCAGTACCTTCCCTTTCACTCCAGCCTGCATCTCCAGCTTTTTCGCAAGTCTCTTGTGTGGTACTGTGTCAAAGTGTATGAGTCGTGTTGTTTCAATTTTTGAGTCGTGGTGGATGGATGAGTCGTGGTGAGTGGATGAGTCGTGGTGGGTGGATGAGTCGTGGTGGATGGATGAGTCGTGGTGGGTGAGGGTACATAGAACAGTCAAGCATCCCGCTGTCTGGGGCAGGATGCCATCCCTTGTACCCACCATTAGCGCCCCTCCGGGGGGGGGGGGGGCACGCCATGCCCTCCTCACTGTCATACCAACAACCACCACCACCACCACTACCACACCAACCACCACATCAACCACCACAACCACTACACCAATGACTAGGTTGCCATTTTTATATTTTCATTTTTTTCCAAAGCGTAAGAGCTAGAACTTACCTTCATAAAACACCATATTATTTCCTGTAGCCCATAGAAAGACCTGATCTACGTCTGACTGGAGGTTTGCCGTGTCCTCTATGTTGCCAACTCTCATGAAGATCTTAGTGTCATCTACATAGGATGATACAGTACTATAGGTTGTGTCCTTGTCTATGTCCGATATGAGGATGAGAAAAAGTACTGGAGCAAGCACAGTACCCTGGGGAACTGAGCTCTTCACGGTTGATGGGCTGGATTTTATTTTGTTGACTATTACACATTGGGTTCTGTTAGTCAGGAAATTGTAGATCCATCTTCCAGTTTTCCCGGTGATTTCCTTTGAGCGTATTTTTTAAATTAGTAAAATTCTAAGAAGCTAGTATGAGGCTATGTTTAGCACACCAATAACCAACATGAAAGTTAATGACCCAGACAGCTTCTTTATGAATGACATTCAAGCTGCAGATAATATAACGGATATTAACACGAACTCGGAAGACTTTGAGAGATAAATTGACAACATGCCCATGCACTCAGCTCCTGGCCCTGACTCGTGGAATTCAATTTTCATAAAGAAATGTAAAGCACCAGTAGCGAGAGCACTCAGCGTAATATGGAGAAAGAGCCTGGATACAGGGGAGATACCAGCAGCACTTAAATCTGCAGATATAACTCCTCTGCACAAGGGGGGAGTAAAGCTTTAGCAAAAAATTATAGGCCAGTTGCACTAACATCTCATATTATAAAAATTTAAGAAAGAGTGATTTGGAACTAAATTTCCAATTTTATGGAAAATAATGAGCTTCACAACCCAGACGCCCCTCTTCACAGGCACGTGCTTCAAGCAGACCTTGTAAGCTTCAGCTGTCAGTTGAGCTATTCCCTGTGTGGGAGTTTTGTCGCTTAAGACCGTCTCCCATTGAATGGTTGCAAGGTCTACATTTATTTTTTCCCAGTTGATCCTCTTATTGTTGAAAATGAGTTGATTGAATACTTCTCGCTTGTTGGGTCTCTTAGACCTACTGCCGTTATTTATGCTAGTTCGCACTCCAATGAGCTTATGGTCTGAGTATGAATATCTGAGAGTGTGATGTCTCTGATTAGTTCACTATTGTTTGTGAATACACCACCACACCACCACTACACCACCACCACCAACCACACCACCACCACTACACCACCACCACCACAACCACATCACCACCACCACCAACCACACCACCACCACAACCACATCACCACCACCACAAACACCACCACCACCACCAACCACACCACCACCACCACCAACCACACCACCACCACCACCAACCACACCACCACCACAAACACCACCACCACCACCACAACCACACCACCACAACCATACCACCACCAACCAACTAGGAAGGTGTATTCGTTGCTAGTTGGTTGTGTAATGAGTACAAGAGGTACCAACACCTGTCACTAAGGAGTACAAGAGGTACCAACAACTGCCACTAAGGAGTACAAGAGGTACGAACACCTGCCACTACGGAGTACAAGAGGTACCAACACCTGCCACTAAGGAGTACAAGAGGTACCAACACCTGCCACTAAGGAGTACAAGAGGTACCAACACCTGCCACTAAGGAGTACAAGAGGTACCAACAACTGCCACTAAGGAGTACAAGAGGTACCAACACCTGCCACTATGGAGTACACGAGGTACCAACACCTGCCACTAAGGAGCACAAGAGGTACCAACACCTTCCACTATGGAGTACAAGAGTCAGTACGAGCACTCAACACCCCAGTACCAGCAGTCAACACCCCAGTACCAGCAGTCAACACCCCAGTACCAGCAGTCAACACCCCCAGTACGAGCAGTCAACACCCCAGTACGAGCAGTCAACACCCCAGTACCAGCAGTCAACACCCCCAGTACGAGCAGTCAACACCCCAGTACCAGCAGTCAACACCCCAGTACCAGCAGTCAACACCCCAGTACCAGCAGTCAACACCCCAGTACGAGTAGTCAACACCCCAGTACCAGCAGTCAACACCCCAGTACCAGCAGTCAACACCCCAGTACCAGCAGTCAACACCCCAGTACCAGCAGTCAACACCCCAGTACCAGCAGTCAACACCCCAGTACCAGCAGTCAACACCCCAGTACGAGCAGTCAACACCCCAGTACCAGCAGTCAACACCCCAGTACCAGCAGTCAACACCCCCAGTACCAGCAGTCAACACCCCAGTACCAGCAGTCAACACCCCCAGTACGAGCAGTCAACACCCCAGTACCAGCAGTCAACACCCCAGTACCAGCAGTCAACACCCCAGTACCAGCAGTCAACACCCCAGTACCAGCAGTCAACACCCCAGTACGAGCAGTCAACACCCCAGTACCAGCAGTCAACACCCCAGTACCAGCAGTCAACACCCCCAGTACCAGCAGTCAACACCCCAGTACCAGCAGTCAACACCCCCAGTACGAGCAGTCAACACCCCAGTACCAGCAGTCAACACCCCAGTACCAGCAGTCAACACCCCAGTACCAGCAGTCAACACCCCAGTACGAGCAGTCAACACCCCAGTACGAGCAGTCAACACCCCAGTACCAGCAGTCAACACCCCAGTACCAGCAGTCAACACCCCAGTACGAGCAGTCAACACCCCAGTACCAGCAGTCAACACCCCAGTACCAGCAGTCAACACCCCAGTACCAGCAGTCAACACCCCAGTACCAGCAGTCAACACCCCAGTACCGGCAGTCAACACCCCAGTACGAGCAGTCAACACCCCAGTACCAGCAGTCAACACCCCAGTACGAGCAGTCATCACCCCAGTACGAGCAGTCAACACCCCAGTACGAGCAGTCAACACCCCAGTACGAGCAGTCAACACCCCAGTACGAGCAGTCAACACCCCAGTACGAGCAGTCAACACCCCAGTACCAGCAGTCAACACCCCAGTACCAGCAGTCATCACCCCAGTACGAGCAGTCAACACCCCAGTACGAGCAGTCAACACCCCAGTACCAGCAGTCAACACCCCAGTACCGGCAGCCTCATGAGTTCAACTCAGGAAAGTGTAAGGTGATGAAATTAGGCGAAGGGAGCAGGAGGCTGAACACAAGGTATCATCTGGGAGGTGAAATCCTGCAAGAGTCAAATAGAGAGAAAGATCTGGGGGTTGATATCACACCGAACCTGTCCCCAGAGGCCCACATCAAGAGGATATCATCAGCGGCATGTGCTAGATTGGTCAACATAAGAACTGCCTTTAGAAACTTGTGTAAGGAATCGTTCAGAACCCTGTATACCACTTATGTCAGACCAATCCTGGAGTATGCAGCTCCAGCCTGGAGTCCATACCAAGTTAAACACAAGACAAAGTTAGAGAAGATTCAGCGGTATGCCACCAGGCTCGTCCCGGAACTGAGAGATATGAGCTACGAGGAAAGGCTAAAGGAGTTGAAACTCGCGTCCCTGGAACACAGAAGAGTAAGGGGAGACATGATAACCACCTACAAAATTCAGAGGGGAATTGACAGGGTGGACAAAGACAAACAATTCAGCACGGGTGGGACACGAACAAGGGGACACAGGTGGAAACTTAGTACCCAGATGAGCCACAGAGACGTTAGAAAGATTTTTTTTCAGTATCAGAGTAGTTAACAGATGGAATGCATTAGGCAGTGATGTGGTGGAGGCTGACTCCATACACAGTTTCAAATGTAGATATGATAGAGCCCAGTAGGCTCAGGATTATTTTTTTTGTTATTATTTTCTACCACAGACGTGGCCAGACATTTACAATGCTAACCAGCATACATACATTTTCTTCTGTCCTCCATGGACAGGGTTAGAGAAGTGTTAAACATATAGTTCAAGGGTTTATTGAACAATCAACCACAGAAGGTGATTCGGGGTTTTTAAAATGCTAAGCTAACCTACATACATAAATACATAGATACACTGATTTATGTATGCCCTACATAAAGTGTTCGATGTGTCTTTTACAGTGTGTCATTAATGTGCATTTACAAAGGTGAAATGTAATTCTGATCAGCTTCCATATATACTTTATACACATACATACACATACACACACACACACACATATGCGTACATATACATATATACACACATGCATTCACATACATTTGTCTCTTTTACTCTGATAGGCACAGGAATCTGTACACCAGTTGATTGACAGTTGAGAGGTTGAACCAAAGAGCCAAAGCTCAACCCCCGCAAGCACAACAAGGTGAGTACAACTAAGTGAGTACCCAGCAACACACAAGGAACCGCTTGGAGGTGAGGAAACATGGAGAGCAAAGCTGTTAGAAGTGGCGAATAAAAACCTTTTAAGTTAGCATGTCAAGGGTCACACAAGAATGAGAGGCAACGATGAACCAGCGAGACTCGACCTGGTCTTCACTCTGAACGACTCCGACATAAGGGAAATCGGTTTCGAGGCCCCCGTGGGAATGAGCGACCACAGTGTACTGATGTTTGAGTCTCTGGTCGAAGTAGGGGTTAAGGTACTCAAGGAAGGGCACAGAAATCAAACGGCAGCTTGGGAAACAGAGCTCAGGGGAAAGACGGCCCAAGACATGGTTCGACTATATCACACAGTAGTGTAAGGAGGCATCAGACAAGTTTGTCCCAGTCCAAAAGGAAAAAAATAAATGCAGAGGAGAAACCCATGGTATAATCAGAGATGTAGGCTAGCTAAGCAACTAAATACAAGGGCGTGGAGAAATTATAGAAATAACAGGACACTTAAAAGCAGAGAAAGATACCAGAGGGCCAGGAATGAATACGTCAGGGTGAAAAAGAGAGGCAGAAAGACAATATGAAAATGGCATAGCGAGCAAGGCAAAGACTCAACCTAAATTCCTACATAGCCACATCAGGAGAAAAACAACAGTCAAGAAACAGGTAATGAAACGGAGGATAGGGGCAGACAGATTCACTACAAACGACAAGGAAGTGTGTGAGGAACTCAATAACGAAATTCCAGGTCTTCACATTAGAGCAAAAAGAAGTTCCAGAGATAAGAGAGACAATATCTAACCAGGCACCACTGGAGAAGTTTGTGATTACCAGTGGGGAGGTGAGGAAGCATCTGCTAGAGTTGGATGTGACAAAGGCTATAGCCCCAGTTGGAATCCCACCTTGGATACTGATGGAAGGAGCAGAAGCACTGTGCCTGCCACTCTCCATAGTGTATAAGAAATCACTGGTAACAGGTGAACTGCCAAACATTTGGAAGACGACTAATGTAGTCCCGTATACAAGAAGGGGGATAGACAGGAGGCACTGAACTACAGGCCAATGTCCCTAACCTGCATATCATGCAAGTTGATGGAGAAAATTGTGCGAAAAAAGCTAGTGGAACATCTGGAGCGAAAGAACTTTGTAACACAGCATCAACATGGGTTCTGGGATGGCAAATCATACCTTACAGGACTAATTGAGTTCTACGACCAGGCAACACAAATCAGGCAAGAAAGAGAGGGCTGGGTAGACTGCATATTCTGGGTTGCCGGAAAGCGTTTGACACAGTACCACGTAAGGGACTAGTGCAAACGCTGGAGATGCAGGCGGGAGTGAAAGGGAAGGTACTCCACTGGATAAGGGAGTACCTAAGCAACAGAAGACAGCACGTCACTGAGGAGTGAGGTCTCAGAGTGGCGTCACCAGTGGAGTCCCGCAGGGGTCAGTCCTTGGACCTATACTGTTTCTGATATATGTAAATGATCTTCCAGAGGGTATAGACTCGTTTCTCTCAATGTTTGCCGATGATGCAAAAATTATGAGGAAGGGAATGGAAGTATCAGGGGTAAGCGCCAAGCCCTTACGACTATGTAGCACTTGGAAGGGGTCAGGATAAGGATTAGGGATGGGACGGTGGGAAGGAATGGTGCCCAACCACTTGGACGGTCGGGGATTGAACGCCGACCTGCATGAAGCGAGACGCTCGCTCTACCGTCCAGCCCAAGTGGTTGGGAATTATGAGGAGGATTAAGACAGATAATAGTATGAGGCTACAAGATGGCCAGGACAAACTGAAGGAATGGTCCATCAAATGACTACTAAAGTTCAACCCAAGTAAATGTAAGGTAATAAAAGTAGGTGGAGGAAACAGGAGGCCAGACACAGGATACCGAATGGGAGATGAAGTCCTTCACGAAATAGAGAGAAAGGAGTTATCTAGTAAATATCTAGATAGTATTTACTATCTAGATAGTAAAACTATCTAGGAGTTGATATCACACCAAACCTATCTCTTGAAGCCCACGTAAAAAGAATAACATCTGCGGCATATGCGACGCTGACTAACATCAGAACTGCCTCCAGATAACTGTGTAAGGAATCTTTCAGAACCTGGTACACCACATATGTAAGACCAATCCTGGAGTATGCGGCCCCAGCATGGAGCCCGTACCTTGTTAAGCACAAGATGAGGCTGGAAAAAGTTTAGTGGTATGCCATTAGGCTAGTTCCAGAACTAAGAGGCGTGAATGACAAGGAAAGGCTGAATGAACTGCACCTCAGGTCTGGGTATAGAGTACAACCATTGTGATGAAATCCCTGGATGTGAAAGTTCTCGTAATCCATCCTATCATTTTTCTGGCTGACGCAATATTTGCTTGGTTATGCTCCCTAAACGTTAGGTCGTCAGACATCATTATTCCCAACTCCTTGACATGTTGGATCTTGGTATACCAAGACGTTAGGAGTATCCACACCAAGACGTTAGGAGTATACACACCAAGACGTTAGGAGTATACACACCAAGACGTTAGAAGTATACACAGCAAGACGTTAAGAGTATACACACCAAGACGTTAGGAGTATACACACCAAGACGTTAGAAGTATACACAGCAAGACGTTAAGAGTATACACACCAAGACATTAGGAGTATACACACCAAGACGTTAGGAGTATACACACCAAGACAGTAGAAGTATACACACCAAGAAGTATACTCTACTTATCAGTGTATATACAGTGAGACGCTACAGTAATACTGCATCGTGTTCAGGACCTGAGTCACCTCTCTATAGTTAGCAAGTACAGTGTTGTAGGCGTCCTGCATGGTGGTGATGCAAGTGCTTTTAATTATATGGTGCTAGAAGAGGTACCCGGCAGTGCTCGGGTCTCTTCCCTGCCCCCCCCTCCTTCTCCTGTTAGAAAATGTTCCTCATGAGTGTCTCTATCCCCCCCCCCCCCGATGGTCGCCCCCGGTGAGGGGGGGGGGGGTAGGGGGAGGGAGGGGGAGTGAGGGGAAGGGAAGGGGAGTGAGGGGAAAGGAGGGGGAGGTGAGGGAGAGGGGTAGGGAGGGAGGGGAACAGGAGGAGGTAGGCAATCACGTTCTCAGTAAAGTGAGGTAAATGTGGAGGTGGGGGGGGGGGGGGGGGGGAGGGGGAGGATCTAACTCCAAGGTAGGTGGGAGGGGAGGTAAGGCAGACCATACACCCAGGGGGGGGGAGGTGCACTTTTCACTGCTTACCTTCCCTGGATCACTGTCACCGCGGCCCGGTCTCTAACCAGGTCTCTTGGTTTAAAAGGCTGTTCGAAACTTCTTGGATGCGGCGGCATGCATTCTGTCTAGTGAATCACAGCCCAGTTGATCAGGTGCCCTTACCTGCATACATGGAACACCCGGATACATGGAACACCTGGATACCTGGAACACCTGGATACCTGGAACACCTGGATACATGGAACACCTGGATACCTGGAACACCTGGATACATGGAACACCTGGATACCTGGAACACCTGGATACCTGGAACACCTGGATACCTGGAACACCTGGATACATGGAACACCTGGATACCTGGAACACCTGGATACATGGAACACCTGGATACCTGGAACACCTGGATACATGGAACACCTGGATACATGGAACACCTGGATACATGGAACACCTGGATACATGGAACACCTGGATACATGGAACACCTGGATACATGGAACACCTGGATACCGGGGTCATACTGTCTAGTGAATCACAGCCCAGTTGATCAGGTGTCCTTGGCGGTGTTTACCTGCCGTCCTCTTGGAGGAG